TGTCCAGACCCCCGAGGGTCTGCTCTAACTCAGACAGACAGTCCTCCCTCCAGCCCAGGGACTGTGGTGACCTCTGCTTGAGGAGCAGCTGCCCCGAGCCCAGCCCCCACTCCGGAGCCAAGACCCATAGCCACGTGTCCCCCACCCAGACCTGGTTCTGTGCTGTATGGCCCAGCCCTCGGTGAGCCCCACGCCCACCTTCTCCCCCTGCACCGATGAGAGCCCCAAGAGGGCAGCGCCCCGTCTGACATTGCCGTCAGCCTCGGCACACAGGTGAGAGGCATCTGTAGGGGCTTGTGGGATCATTTTATTAGGAACTGCAGTGTGAGTCCTGAGAGCAGCCCGCCCCACACCAAGCTCCCAGGCGGCTGAGCAAGGAGGCCGGCGCCTGGCCAGCCTCAGAGGACTCGGCGGGCACAGTCGCCCCAGAGGTCGACGCATTCACTGAAAACCAAGGAGAGCACTGGGGGACCCCAGATTCACCTCGAGGGGTGTCTGCCCCGTCCCGGTCCCCGACCCTTCACGGGGCGGAGCTCTGGGGTGGAGGATCTGGGGTGATGCTCGGGAAGGCAGCTTACCTGGAAAGCCTTGTGCACACAGGTGGCTAGGAGGAAAGAAGAGTTGTGAGGGTGGGCACCCAGCACACACCGTGGCCACCATGCTCTGTCCACGGCCTCGCCCGAGCCGGGGCCGGCCCTGCAGGCCTGGCTTTGTGCAGGAGCAGATGACTCCATGTAGATCTCCCCACCCCTGCCCTGCCTGACTCCCTGCGGCCCGGCGGGACCCCGAGACCAGCAGAAGTCAGCCAGGGGTCCTTGGGGATCGGGTGACACTCACGATCCGGCTGCCGCATGGCCTGCTGCTGAGACAGGAAGCCCAGGGCCTTGCTCCACCTAGCAAAGAGGCGCAGGGCCTCCTGGCTGGCCAGCTCCGTCCGGCCTGTGGGGCAGGAGGGGAGCCCTCACCACGTGTGCCCCGTGCCCCAGCCCCCCCTCCTGCAGGGGGCCGAAGGGCGGGGATGGTGCTCTGGGACCCTAGGGGCACGGGGCTCAGCACAGTCAGCGGGAGGATGGCCAGCATGGCCGCCCGTGGCAGGGAGTTCGTGGGGCCGGCCCGTGGTCTCCACCACTTACTCTACAGCTCCACGGTGTTGAACGCCTCATCCTTGAACTCCAGCTGGGTGAACACAATGGCGTAGTACCTGAAGTTGGTGCCCAGCCCCCGGTAGTCCAACACTCCCAGGGCTAGGAAATACATGCGCCCCCCAGGGGGGATCATCAGACCTCACAAGAGGCCCCCCAGGAAGCATTGTCCCCTGGTGCCCAGAGCCAGCACACAGAGGGCCTCAGGCACGGATGGCCGGTGACTGCCTGTCCCAGCTCATGCTGGGGGGAACACTCCACCGATCATGCCCCTCGGGGGCACCACCCCAGACGGAGGCCCGGGGTCACCGCAGGGCACGCCGGGGTGAGCCCTTTGTCCTCCAACCTCTGACAAAATGCGTCCTTTCACTTTCTAGTGGAAGTCTCGGGGATGGGCCTGCTCCCCAGCCCACGGCACTGGCCAGGCAGCAGGGGACGCCAGCCCAGTCTGCCAGTGGCAGAGCCCACTGGGGGTTGGGGAGTGGCCTGGAAAGCCAGCCCATCCCCCACCGCCCCACGCCCCAAGCCCCACGTCCTGCATGAGACCGCAGAGGCCGTCGCCTTACAGGGGTTCTCAAACACCCATCCAGAGCTCTCTCTCAGCAGCTCCACCACGTTCACGTCACACCTCTCCAGTCTGGAAGAGAGACCGTCCGTCCTCGGCTCAGGGTCCGGACTCAGGATCAGAAGAGACAAGGGTCCTTCTAGCGGCATCTGTCCAGCCACCCGCGAG